GAAGTTTAGATCGGATATAAGGAGGAAATTCTTTACTGTGAGGGTGGTGAGGCACTGGAATAGGATGCCCAGGGAGGTTGTGAATGCTCCATCCCTGGTAGTGTTCAAGACCAGGCTGGACGAGGCCTTGGGTGATATGGTTTAGTGTGAGGTGTCCCCGCCTGTGGCAGGGGGATTGGAACTTGACGATCTTAAGGTCCTTTCCAACCCTAACTATTCTATGATTCTTAGTGAATAAAATACGTCAAGATGATGATCTTCTAAACCACCAAGCTTTCATGTACATTTCCAGGAGACAGATACATAATCTAAAGACTGTCCAAGCACAAGGGTAACACAGCTTTTTATCCAAAGAAATAAAAAATCAATTAAAAAAATAATGAAAGTTTTTCATGTTCAAAGATCTTTTCAGTCACTGTTCTCTATTTCACCAAAAGATTTTGAGTGAAGAGATTAACACAAAAGTAGCTATGCTTCTTACAAATGCATGCCCAAAGAGTTTGAGACTTACTGTTAGTTCAGAAGCTGTGTTTCAAAGTGCTCATAAATAGGTATGCTACTTTATCTTCTTGTTCTAAATAGCATTATAGGTGACGATTTTAGATAAAGGTTAACAAAATAATGTTTCTGATTTTGAATCAGTGAGTTATATAATTACCATCACTTAAACCTTTCTTTATGACTGGCTTTCAAACACCAGGCTCCACATCCGTGGCCAGAGGTTAGACATAATCATAGCATCACAGACTGGTTTGGATTGAAAGGGACCTTAAAGCTCACCCAGTTCCAACCCCCTGACACAGGCAGGGATGCCTTCCAGCAGACCAGTTTCTTCAAGCCCTGTCCAATCTGGCCTTCAGCACCGAATAATAATATAATAATACAAGATCATATAATAAGAACACTGATAACAAGTACTGTCTGATGCATGCGGTCACCTCACTAGGTGATATTCTCGAAGGCCCACTACTGTCAGTGCCAGGGCCTAGATCAGCTGGATGGGCTTAGCAAATTAAGCTGTAGACACCAGGAAAATCTACTAGAGCAAAAAAAGATGACAGTTGGAATTCCAGGCATGAGGTATATGTTTTACATGCCTGGTGAGAGATTACTTTGGGCCCACTACCTCACATTGAATTGAAAGATGACAGCCAAAAAATGTTTTCCAAAGCTTTCCTTGGCCTCATGTTTTCAATTCTTCTGTCTGTCTTGTTTAGTTTACTTGACCTGGATGCTGTTTAATGTCTCCAGGGGATGCTGTTCAGAAGTCTCCTTACCTCCACCCTGGGTGACATAGAAAATCCATATAGAACATCCAGGGAGTTTAGAGGATGACTCCAGCAAACAGTCACACCAGGGACTGTGAGCTCATCTAAACCTTTTCAGAGGATGACTTTTTAAATGCTTGTGCCTGAACTCAGATGTGCTGGTGTTCTAGACAGTGGAGCATCCAGCCATCGTCCACAAAACCTAGCCTCAGTGAGCAGGGGTTTTGAAAGATTTGAGAGTCAGAGATGAAAAGGATTTCTGTAACTGCATGTAATAAATCTGGACCCTCAGTGGATCATTGGAAAGCTTGTACGTGCTGTTGCTGAACAGCATCACTAGACAACCACCACAGCATCTGAGTTGCCAACATCACCATTGCTTCTGTCAAGCACCCATAGAAAATAAATCAGGGAAAGCAGATTTAATTGTCAGAATGTTTCAGATACAAAAATTTCAATCTCTTAGCTTTCTTAGCCTCATAGGATCCTCTACCTGACCTGCATCAAGAAACACCTGAACACATCATAAAGCTTGAACTGTAAGGCAGATGCTGATATTTAGGGGCTGGGGACACTACAGATATGTAGTATACGATTGTATACTGTGAAGTTTTTCAAGATCGCTGGGTTACTGATAAATCATAACCTTTGACTGCGTTTATAATCAGAGACTTCCTTTGAATTCTGACGTTACTAAAGTACCTTTAGGAGCACACATTATTATGGGTTACTGAAAATTACTATCTAATGAAGTACATACGGTTCATTGAAATACTGCATATCAAGCTATTTTGAAAAGAGGGATTTTTGTAGTGGTGGGTTTGATGACTAAAATTAATGAGCACCTTCAAAGCCCCTGCAGATATTTGTGAAAATGCATTCTTTTTCTCCCCTCTGATATTTTGATGTATGAGAAGAAGCTATTTTTTCATGCTTCCTGACCAAACTTATTATTTGCTTGTCAAATTTACCCTGATTTTTATTTCTTTGCCATTCAGTTTCAGGACAATATGAGCTGATAACAGATGAACACCTGGGTTGCCTCCAATAAATAAGCACTGAGAAGGAAATTGTATGTCAACTACATTTTTATTATAACTTCATCGAATCTTAGCACCACATCATGTTCTGTGTTGGAAGGGACCTTAAAGATAATCTAGTTTCAACCCCTTGCCATGGGGAGGGACACTTGAAGCAAGCTTTTTTAATTAAGGAAAAAAAAAAAGAAAGAATTGTATTTAAAAAGCCTTTGAAAAAGGGTGTCATCAGGAAAAGAACAGGCTTTGCAAATAGAAAAGTCTTCATGTTAAGACTTAGGATGCTCTGTCAGTGGTAAGACTGTCTTAACAGAGTGAAATGTGAACTGGATACAACTTACAGGTTTTGTATGGATCTAAATGGATTTGTATGGACTTTTTTGTGAAGTTGTTTTAAAATTTGTCTTCATAAACACTTCCCATTGAGATATTCTTTATAAAAATAAACCTCAGTAACTAACTGACAGAGAGTTTAGCGAACTGCCGTCTCAACTGCCTTAGGACCCCCGAGGATTATGGTCCAGTAAACCCAAATTTATACAAATAATGAAATATAAAATAGAACAGAACAGAGGAAATAGAGAATAGTTCTTACTGTTTTCCTAAAATTAAAATAGTGGCATATTCCTGTTACTTTCACCAAACCACATGCATGAACTACAAATACTGATATTTAATTTGGATCTCTGAGTGAACTAGATAGATCTATTTCTTATGAAAAATTGCCTGATTATGGCCAGAATGTGTGTATATACAGGGTAACTTCAGCATAGATAGAAGTGGTGTTTCCTAAATTGCCTGTCAAGAATGACTTAATCCTACTTTGCAGGATTGCCTACATCAGTGAGACACACTCATTTCCATACCTATTCATTTAGGAGACTCTCTGCTGAGAATGTCAAAGAGATGCTAATTATTATCAGCTATGGTGATCCCTTAGGAATTAGGCTGAGATTGAGAAACCTTTTAATTACTGAAGTTACACTGTAGTCAAGGATTAAAGTGATGAATTCTGCTTTCTTTCTTATTTTATTCTTTTTCTTTCGTGGCTTGGGGAGCAGCTGTCACAGGCAGCCCTGGTGTTCTGTAGGTGATGGTTTTGTGACCACTTTGTCATCTTTCAGCCTAGGTTTATCTGCTACCACTGTTGTGCAAGGGCAGAAGCAGGAGAGACAGTAATTGTGTATGCAGCTTGTTTTTTTCTTAAGGAAACCACCCTAGAAAAAATTGCAGGATCCTTGAGCAGAGGACTGATTTTAAGTTAAATCATCTGTTTCATCAAAGAGAGACAGCAGAACTTGGAAGTTCAGTTGAGTAACTGTGGAGCCACACATGCTGCATGGAGTCAGGCAGAATTCAACCAGGAAATTCTGTTCCATTAACAACACAGCTCTGCCACAAATTTAGGGGACCTATGATAGCATTAATATCTGAATATCTGGACAAATTTTCATAAGTCCTTACTACTGTGTAGAAAAAGGAATCAGGTAAATATCCATGCAGAACAGAAATTAAAATTGACAGATTTGTGTGCTGCTATTGATAAAATCTCTGGGGTAGGACATAATTTGAATTAAAGGCCAGTCCCTTTCTTGAGGATAAAATGCCTGTGTCCTTTATGAATATTTCCTGTTCCATTCCAATTTAAAAAAAAAAAAAAAAAGCTTATATAAAACTTCAAAGTCTTTATTTTGAGCAAACCAAGTTTGCAGTGCTAATGTTTGATTTGGTGGTACCTGCCAGACGTGTGAGCATTTCTTGAATCCATTTAACATTGATGAATGGTTTTAAAATTATCCTCTTATGTCCTGATAAAACCGGTAGCAGCACAGTGTTCAAACATTTACCTTTTGCAGCATTTCCTTTTCTGAAGTGACTAGTTAACCTAGAACCAGTCCTATGCTATAACGCAAACAGGAACTGATCCCATAGGATCTGTGGCTGTAAGACTGTATTTGCAAAGGACATTTGCCATTCTAATGTAATTTAGCATTCTGAGGAATATAAACATTGAGAGAGAAAAAAATATTTCATCAAGGGAAACAAATGATCAGTATTTAAGATAACAAAACCCATGTGATACACTTGAAGATAGAAATATAAGGACATAGGAACACTGATGTAGTCTTTTAACTAGAAATAGCAAGATTCACCTACTGTTTTCACCTGTATTGCATTAAAAGTCAGCAGTAAATCATTTGCAAAATACTATTACAGTACGTGGTTTTCATCTGGACTTACATAGGATAGTGTAGTTAAGCAAGAGTAGTAGGTCTACCAGGTATTTTGGATGATAGGAATTAAATACAAATGTTCAAGTTTGGGGATCAAATACAAATGTTCAAGTTTGGGGATCCTTTGTTGCATCTTAAGCATATACTAATAAGGTGAAGAGAAGTGAAGTTATGTCTGTGACTGTGTTTCTCATAAACTACTACTTTTTTTCCTGCTTGCAGTACACCCTTGAGAAATTCAGACATTGTGAAGTTAGGTCATTGTAGGCAAACAGATTGCTCAAATGTTGAATGCTTCCATTCATTTTCTGCTTGCTTTGCTCCTTGCATTTTTTTTTTAGGGCGAAGATAAACTTTTAGTAGGGGGTTTAGTCCTTTCTGAGAACAGAAAGAAGCTGGGTTCTGTTTTATCAGTGAGTACAGCACTGTCAATAATTAGAAAAGTCAATGAATTTTCATTACAGGTGATGATCTACAAAGAACAAAGGTGGTGTTTTTGCCAGACTGAAAAGTGAACATGATAGATTGGGAGGTATTTCTTTTATATTAATTGGTGTCTCTATATAAAAATGAAGTAATGAAGAAGTCTATTTTAAAATGTAACTGGACTGCCTGTCTTTAGCCAAGATACAGAACTTAATCTTTAAACGCCTGTAGTTTTCAGAGATCATGATGCTGCATTAGTAGCATTAGTCTTTGATCTTAGCACAAATATTCTTTAAGTACTTGAACTGTGAATCTCTGTCTTGCCCTTATCAATCTTGTTTCTTGCAGTTATTCATCTGCAGATGATACATTATATATTTAGAACATTTCCATTTTTTGATCAACATTGTTGGCATAGGTGGTGTAATCAACTGACCTTCATCAAACAGTACTCTTGTCTCAATTTAAATTGGTACTGTTCTTCACAAAGGTATAACAAGCATTCATATTGTATTGCGTAATATCAAAGTAAGAAATTTAATTTCGTGGGAAGTCACAGAACTTTGCGTCTTTAAAATGGTGATGAAACTCAGGCAAAATTAAAAACTAGGTGTATGTTCGAGACTGTCATTGCTTTTTCCAAATTATTTTATGTCAAACAACGAATAATATTTTGCTGAAGCTTTCTTTGGCTTTTTGTCAGGTACTGTAAATGAATTCGTTAATGGGAATTCTTTTTGGGCAGCAGTAGTGGATGGTGGTTTAAAGTCTTAATGGTGATGCAAGATACTTGAGCTACTAGTGTATGCCATCTTTTCATTAGTAGTTCTAACCTAAGAGGTAGTTTGGCTTAAAAGAAAGAAACAGGTTGGATGGAGCTTTGAGTAACCTGGTCTAGTGGAAGGTGTCCCTGCCCGTGACAGGGGGTTGGAACTGGATGAACGTTAAAGGTCCCTTCTGACCCAAATCAGTCTGTGATTCTATGATGATATGAAACAAAATGAAAAAGAAAAACCAAGCGTGTAGTGATCAGTCATTATCTACGACCTAGTTGACTACTATTCATGACAGTGTATCCTAGGCTGTCCAAATACGAAGCCTTTTTCTTGGTATTATTAAAAGAAACATTCTCACAACTGTATTGCACAGGTTTATTTAAACCTTTAGGTCAATATTTTTTATTCTACTCAGTTTTAATAAGTCATAAGAGCAAGATTTGTTTTCATGGGAAAGATAAGATTGAGATGTTTAATAGAAAACTGGCACCCTTTCCCAGCATGAAGTTAGCACAACTGCAGTGTAATGGGAACATGGACATTTCCATTTTTCTTTCTCTACCACCAATCTCCCTCTGCCACCAGTGAGACTGTTGTAGATGGCAAATGGGATGTGCGTCTAAACAGTAAGCAAGGCTGAGCACAAGGGCCATGAGTACTGTTGCATATTACACAAGCACAAGCCCAGAGATATTATTTAACAACAGCATTTTGTAGGGTTTATATATACAGCAGCTTCTGGTTCCACTTTTTTGGCAAAAGTAGAGTGTGGAAGGAGAACAGCAACAAGAAAGATAAAAACTATGGTAGTAAAATTATTGAAGATTTAACAGTGAACTATTTTATATATATTGATTAATGCATATAAAGAGGGCTGACGTTAGGTAGTGATGCTGGAATATATAAAATAATATTAGTGTAAATGTTAGATATATAACATGCTACCAGTAAATAGTAACTAACAATCATTAAGGTCCTTTCCAACCCTAACTATTCTATGATTCTATGAGCACATTTTCAAGATTTAGCACTGGAAAAGTATGCATAGCTAGTTAAAGTTTGATGTGGCAGCTTGAGCTGTAATTTGACTGTTCTCAGTATTTACTACAGGCAGGGTATCTTGTCTATACTGTGCTTTGAAACTTATTAATTGGCTAGTGCCATGGAAATATGTCAGCTAATACCTGACAAAGTCACCCTACACAGATCTGTAAATCTGCAGTGCTGTAGTACACACTGGTAAAAGCTAAGAGACTCTGATATTTAAGCACATGCTTCACTGTAAACAGTAGTTGCACTTGCTCTAGGGACCCTCTATTTATATATTTAATATTTGTAGCCTATTTATTTAATTTTATAGCCTCTGTTTAATTTAGGAGTGTTCTTGGTCAGAAACATGGGGTTTTTCTGAAAAACTGAAAATGTGACTTGTATGTTGCATATTTTTTCCAGTTTCATTTTCAGTAGACATAGATAACAACTGTGAAAGGAATGATGAAATAAGACCCATTATTTGCTTTCTGTGGAAACCTTTAATATTGAATCTCAAATTATGGCATCTTTCATCCATGTGAAGATTAGACCTTACTAAAACACACAGAAAGTACTAATAAGGGAAGTTACCATAATAGCATCAGCCTAAGTCACTACATTATTCTTTAATATTTTTCAATTGAAATGAGTGCTGTTCTTTATCTTTAAAATTTAAAATAATTATTTTATTTTTTTTAAAGCATACCAGATAGAAACACGCTAGAGGATATTAATAGCTGGAATAAAAATGGCTACATATCTCCTGAGTGCATTAATAGCAAGGGAAGGGGGAGGGGTTTAGCTTAGGGAAGGATCTGGTTGTCCTGAGACCACCAGTATATTTCTGGTTTATAACTGCGCATCATTCTCTCCACGGACTACAAAGAGGTGTTGAGGGAAACTGATCTTTCTAGTTTAAATTTTGTCTTTTTGAATTTCCCTTTATGACATCTGTTTGGTTTGACACCAACTGCTGTCAAATCAGATCTCAGCAGTATAGAGATTTTAATAAAAATGAACAGAAAATGTTTTAAGAATATGTTGTTATACTTCATATTTAAGTTCTTATCAACTTTGGTCTCTTTCCTTTTGTTAGTGCCAGAACTAAGGGATTCCCTTCTGGGTAGCCCAGATGTCATTGATACTGCTCCAAGAAGAAAGCAAAGACAAAGGACAGCTAAGCCTGATAGGACAGGATCTAAGATGGCTTCTCATGAGACAGAACTGCCAGCCAAGGAAAAGTAAGCAGTTTTCAAATGTATTATTTATATATATATATATATATATATATATATACATATGCAGATGTCAGAGGGTTTGTGGTTTTGTTTTTTTGAGTATTTTCTTATGCAGTTTCAAGTTTCAGACCAAGTACGGTTGTGTTGTGTTCTGCATAGTCAATTACAGTCATTTTACTCTATTTTGAATAGATGTGAATGATAAAATTGTCAGGCAAAATGACTGACTGATTTGAATGCACCTCTAAAGTGACAACTGTAAAATTGTTTTCTTTAATTGTCTTGGATAACTTTAAGCAAATAGACTGAAGCCTACTGAACGGATGCTTTGTAGGCTACCATAGAACTCTGCGGGCAGGGAAGGACGTATTTATAACTAGCGTCAAACTAAGATGGACAGCTTCAGCTAAGTTGTGTCACTGAAAGTAGTGTTATTATGAGTGTCTTTTTTCATTGTGAGGGTGGTCAAACACAGGAACACTTTGTCCAGAGAGGTTGTGGACTCTCCGTCTGTGGAAACATTCAAAACCCAACCTGCTCTGGTTGAGGAGGGAGATTGGGCCGGGCAGTCTCCAGACTTCCCTTCCAACCTCACTATCCTGTGATTCTGTCTTTGTAATTTCAGTGGAAATTAATTCACAATACCATTTTTTAGTAGACCAGAATAGATTTCTTTTGAAAATAAGATCAGTGGGGAGAAAAAAGAATTCGCTATTAAACACAAGGAGAGCAGAACTTACAACACTTAATAAAAGATATTAGATCTCCCCATTTATCTTTAGCATTAAAGAAACCCAAACTGTAATAATTACCATTTTGCTAAAGTTTTACAGTATTGTGTCACTTCCTAGCAAAAAATTATTAATTCAAGCAAACCACCCCAGCCTGCTAGGGCAGCGGGGAGTTGGGCAGGAAGTTAACCTCTAAATTCCTTCACTTTTGGAAATGCTCCATCACAAATATGGGAGATGTACAGCCCTTGAATGCATGTCATGCTTTCTGTTTGACAGGAGGATCAAATGACAGATTGTGATCACATTTGCAAGTGCACTAGTGAATACTTATTTCTGAGCTTTCCTGCACAGACCTGCAGAAAGATTTGATTCTTTGCTTATAAAGACTATGCTATCACATAAAATTGTATCCTACAGTTCTTGCTGTGACAAATTAAAGCTTATTTAGAATTATTTTTCAGTTGCTAGTTTTGCTGACAACATTAGTGGTTCTTTCATGTTTGCCAGTCAGTGAAAGAGCAATTACAAACCAAACGCTAGGAGCCTAATGCTGCCTTTATGTTGCTGCATCTTAAGTCAATTGATACAAGATCCTAAATCAGAAAAAAAAAAAGCTTCTTTACTGAAGGAGAGCATCTAAGTTTTTATTTTCTTTTTGGCTGTGAGATCTTTTTTTGAAAATACAGTGGTTTTTAACAGTTTTTCTTATCACATAATAGGAAATATTTCTTAATCTTTATGTATTTCTCCCAAGATTTTGGAGTGTGGTAAAAGTACTGCTTATGCTTAGAGTTAAAAGCATCTAAAGTAGATACTGAGTCATGAATAACAAAAAAGAATTCTATTTCCATGAATACTTCAGATTTATGGATGTTGAGGCTAGTTGTGTAGAAATAATCTAGTCCTTTGGAATGAAAATATATTAGATGTGCCCAAGAACACTGAGAAGAATGCAAATAAAAATCCATTTAACATAGAAATTAGAGCAAAAGGACTGCCTTTCTCATGCTTTGTGTGTGAATGCAGTGTCAGGAGAAGGAACTGATTTGTATTTATCTATATAGACATCTACTATTACTGTGACAATTTATGCAAGCGCTAATTTTTCATTTTTAATGACACCTGGAAGTATGCCCTAGATAATATTAAGCTTAGTGAAAGTAGTATAGATGTGGGATCAGCAAAGAACTGAACTAGGATTTGTAAAACAGGGTTTGCTGAACGAACTGTTTAATTACTTGCTGAGATAAATATGTCCTTTAGGTAAAGCAGAAAGTCAGAATAATTAGTTGGTCAATGAACTGCCAATATTCGGGTTTTTGCAGCTCTCTAGCAGGTTGTTTTTCAAATCTGAGCTACCCAATAAAAAGAAATGCTTCTTTAGGCAGACAGATGTTACTTAGAGTGGATAGCAGTCAACCTGTGGGTTGCAATTTGCACATTTTTAAAGTGTGACAAAAGATGGTTCTTATAGTTCAAAACATGATTGAGTCAGGAAGTAAAATAAAATTACTCTGATTCCAGGAAACTGTGATGGTATTGGTAAAGTTTTAACTGTAACTTAATGTCTAGCAGTTTCCTAAGGTGCAAAGCAGAGATAATATGTAAGTCAAGATGCAAATTCTGCTTTTTGTGATTTGCATTTCATACTTGGAGGAGAAAAATTAGTAAGAGCAATCCCAATCCACAGTTAGAAATTATGTTTACTGATGCATTACACAAATCTCTGATGGGACCGTATATGAATAACAATATTAGCTATGTAGAATATGCATTCAATATAAAGGCTTAAGCTTATGGCCTGTCAGCCTGAATCCCATAAATAATTGGATATTTCTATAGTAACTTCACTTTAAAAGTATTGGAACCTATTTGAGAGAAGATAGTATTTACTGAAGCTGACAATTTTTCTAATGTAATTTTATAAATTAAGCATAATTGTTGAATACAGAATACTGTATGTATAGTATGTGTAGCTTGTACAATCTGTAGTCATAGAGTACTGTGGAAGTCAGCCAGTACTGGGTCTGTATAACTAAAACAAAAGTAAATCAGCAAAGCTTCCTTTCTAGTACAGCCTGCAACTATCACTTTGTTTCCACAAGTAAAAATCTATCTTTCTGCTTTTGTTTATCAAAATTGTTTTTATTCAAAGAAGTAAAAAGCCAGAACTTTTTTTTTTTTTTTTGGTCATTTTTTACTAATAAAGGATCTAGTATTTTAGTCTTCATTCACGCCTTTAATTCAATTAACTGAGAATTAATAGGCATTATTTGCTTGCCTTTTACATAAAGAAATATGTGCTTACAACAAGCACTGTGACTCTGACTTATTCTGCGTATCAAAAACTTCAGTTTTGTATGTATCTAGATTTGTACATTTGATGGGTTTTCGTTGTTTGGGATGATTTTTTTTTTTTAATTCAAATTTGACTTTGCTTGCTTGATAATTCTTGATTGGTAAAACTGAGTGGCTGTCAGAATCAGGTCTAGATGTAAACCGAAGAAAAAGATACTTTCCCTTAGCTTCAGCATGTTTGATTTTGCTGAAATACCGAGATGCAGTCATAGCCTCACTGAATTTAATAGGATCTTTGCCACTAGTAGTTTAAGTCTTTCTTTTCTACACATGAATGCTGCTTTTTCAGAGAGCTCAAAGTGTTCAACATATAGTTGGCAGTCCTCATAAACATCTGTATGAAGTAAAAAAAATATCAAAACAAACCAACGCATTTGTGTGCTGTCATCTCTTTCAGTTTTTTCTCTCACCTCTTTATTTCCTATAGACTTTGTAGGTATATATAATTTATTTTAAAATAAAGCTCTTAACATTATATTCTAATATGATAGTAAGCTGGACTCTCCTTTCTTTTGATAACCTTCCATCCCTTCCAAAGCACTGAAAGCCTGTGGTATGCCAGGATTACTCTGGGGATCATCTCTCTGCATTTAATTTATTTCTTGCGGTTATTATTATTAAAGCCCTCATGCAAGGTTTATTTAAAATGTGGTTTGCCACCACCAGTGATTCAGGTAGCCAAAAAGGTAGATTTGTCCTGGAATTTGGCATTCTCAGAAGGTTACTCACAGACATTGGCATTACATCTCAGACAAGTAATTCTTTTTCATAAAGGTTTAACCTAGTGAAATTTGGATTCCACTGAAAATTATACAATAACCTTCCGTGGCTCAGAGGGGGTATAAAGTTTATACCACAGTTACTCGCTTTTAAAAAGAGATGTATATGAGAGTTCATGCTGACATGTACCTTTTTTATTCATTAACTGTATTTAATACAATTGGAGAGAACTTGCAGAGCTTTTCCTGGTGTGACAAAACTCTATGATCGCTGGTATACCAGTGAGTTAATGTAGTGTCTGTGTCCAGGAGTGGTAAGTTCATTCCTGCCATAATAAATGTATGGAATGCAATGTTTAGGAACTTTTTATACTTAACTTATTAAGGCTGAAATGTAAACAGGGTAAGAAGTATCTTAGAATTGGACAGTTGGGTTCACTGGATACTGTAACGTGAGACTGAAAAAAATTTTTAAATAAGTCTTTTGTGTTTCATACCCATGTTGTGTGACTTGTGGCTGTACAAAAATGGGTGTTGTCAGAGGAAAAAAGGATAAAAGCCTTTGACTAAAATGCATAACTTTATTTGCAATAAGAAGGTGCAAAAAAGTTGAGTATACAACTGGGAAGACTGAGGCGGATATAAATACAATACAGTGCAGTTGCTTTTCTTGTGGTGGCACCCTGGCTTTCTTTGAGCGAGTGTCTTTAACTGAGTAGCAGATAATTAGGCCTCCACCATCTGTGCTGGAAGGGATGATTTATTTTCATGGGAAGTGCATGGAATTGGTACCCGCAATCACCATTGCTCCTGACTCTCCAGGGAAAGACGGAAAAATTTGAAGGCTGAAAACCCAGGGCAGGGAAAAATGAATGTAATTTGCTGACCTCTGAGACTGCAGTTTCTCCTGGGCAAAGTCACTCAGCTCTCCAGTTTGTAGCCAATCACCAATTCTTATCACTAATAATAGGCTAATAATTGACTGCTGATGGAGAAGTTATTACTCAGGAAGACTGACAGGGCTCTATCCTGTGTTTTCTCAGGGCATATTCTTTAAAGCAGAATTTTATCACTGTGACAACTCTGGTGAGATATATGCCTCAGATTAGTAATTTATAATGTATTTCATTGAAACTGGTAGCTGTTATAAGAGGTTCATAAAAAAAAATTAAAACTATATCTTCTTCCATTA